ACATAACATTACATTTGTCACAACTCTGTGGAATCAGGTGCTCCTCTATTTGCGAACGGACATGTGGAGTTATTGATAACACCTTCCTTAAAGCTTGTTCCTTTGACCTGCTTCTGGTAGAAAAATACCCTTGTTATCTGAAATTGAAGTCCGGAAATGCGCAAACGAAAGACGTTGAGTCGCCTGGTGTCATGGGTAAAATCAGGGAGAAACTGGTCGCCAAAATTGAGTAACTGAAATAGCTTGAGTGTCCTTGAAAATTATTATTTACGCTTTGTGCTTTGTTTGCTTTTGATCAACTGGTTGGGTTTTTTTTCTCTCCAAACAAATCAACACAGAAATGTATTTACAAATAGAAGTTTACAATTTGAGGGTTTCTAAGATCACTGAAGCTTTAGCAGTCAGCAAACGTTAGTGGCCATGTTCTGGCTACTGTTACGTCTGTCACCAGCCGACCCCACCTCCTTACTTCATCAGTTTCATATCGCGCCTTTGTTTCAAGATAGGATTTGAATAGTTCAGCAGATTCAAGACCAATGAACAATATTTTCAGATGATACCACGAAGTCCATAATATGCGCCAAAAGTGACAATCGTCTGGTTCCACAGTGTTGTTACACATAATTGCAATTTTAACCCCTTCACTTCCAGAATCCGGGAATTTCTCCCGCTCTTTGATTGGATTAAGAGACGGGGGGGGGGGAGAGACTAGTTTTTAAATTCACGATTTTTGATCAATTTATGGTATCTTGACTTTTTATGTATAATAATACTTCAACCACTTGTAAATCTAAAAATTGCTTACTCTTTGTGTTACAATCAACATCTTTCAGATTTTTTGTCCTAAACCTTTTAATTTGCCTATTGTGTAGCAAAATTTCGTGGATTTTTTTTTCAAAACTTCAATTTGTTTTAGTTTTTCTCATCTACTTTCTTATTTTCTATTTGATTTCAATGAAATTTTCAGGGCTTGTTATTTGCATCATAACCCAACTCTATGCTGGAGGAAAAGCAAATAAATGTATTCATAAGTGAGTTACATGGAGGATTATGAAATCGAATTCAGAGGCATGCAGGGGTAGGTCAGTTATCCAGCTCCAACATTTTTCCTTTTCTAGATACACAGGATCCCAACTGCAAAAAGTTGTGTATTAGGTATATCTATCAATGTACAAATTGGAACAAATTAGGTTGGTAAATCCACCATTTTTTTCACTTATATGAAAGTTGCTTCTTTTCAATATGGCCACTGTTATTGTAACAGTAGACGTAAACAAAACAAAAACAATTATATTTTATAAAGGTTTTCCAGTTATACCTCCATGCTATAAGGCTTTATCTGTAAGGTCATAGTTACCGAAATAGGTTTATAA